ATCGGAAGAATAAAAGTGAGGAAACTCGTGGTTTGAGATAAAGACAGTTTAATAAGTAAAGCAAAAGCCGCGCACACAAGCAAAGCAAGACAAAGAATTCATTCACCACTCCCCATGGGCAGGCAGGGGTTCAGCCATCTCCAGGGAAGCAGGGCTCCGTCACGTGTAATGGTTTCTTGGGAAGACAGACGCCATCACTCCGAACGTCCCTCCACCCCTTCCTTCTTCTTTGTCCCAGCTTTATATACCGAGCATGACGTTATATGGTATGGAATATCTCTTTGGCCAGCCTGGGTCAGCTGTCCTAGCTGTGTCCCCTCCCAGCTTCCCGTGCACCCCCAGCCTGCTCGCTGCAGGCCAGCATGACTACTTAGCAACAACTCAAAACATCAGCACCTTATCAACATTTTCTCATCCCAAATCCAAAACACAGCCTCACGCTAGCTTCTGTGGAGAAAATTAACTCTACCCTGGCTGAAACCAGGACAGACCTAAAGAGGAAGCCAGTAAAAGCTATGCTGGCAGTGTCTGCTTCATCCAGACCAGATTAAGGGATCTCTGATGAGAATCAAAAATGATTTCTTCTAAATGTGGATAGTTCTTCTGTGGCATTAAATCAGTCCTGTAACTCCATGAGCTCAACCACCTGGATTTACAGCCATGCCAGCAGTCAGGATCCATCTGTGGCTGATTAAAATGGCCCTAAAGCAGCCCTGATGGGAGGAGATAGGGAGAGAACAGGTAAATCTTCATCCTGTTCCCTCTCTCATGCATTTCTATTAAATCATGTGCAAAGGCAACTTAATGTTCGATGTACAAGTGATTGGGCCACGGTTCTCTCAAAATTCCTTGTGTCTCACTGCTTATTACATTTCAGGACAACTGCAGTGACTGGTAATTAGAGAAAGACCAGAGATGAGACAGGAATGTGTGTTTCTAGGTTGCAGATTCCAGTCAGGTGTTAGTGTTGAGTAGTACAGCATTAGTATTGAGTTGTTAGTCTTTTAGAAGTGGACAGATTGTAAAAAGACGCCTTCCAGGGCTGAGCAAGGTCAACCAGCCACAAAACAGGGTGGTTTCTTCCCCGCTCAGTGCTTCTCCTTCAGCATAATGCATAGGGCCGGCTGCTAGCAGGGTGTGGGGGCAGCTTTGCAGACCGGTACCTGCCCACACCTCTCGTGGCTCTCTTGGGTTACTTGTGTTTCCGTTGCTTTTCCTGTTGGAGAAGTGTTTAGTAAACTGGAAGAGCATAGAATAGGTATATCAGCATCCGCTCAACATGTTATTCATTCACACCTGTCTTACTTCAGTACAGTCTCAGACCCAAACCTGTAGTCATGAAGTCCGTTAAAGACTTTCATCCCATTTTTCACTTCATACAAAATGAAGGGGAGTGTCATTGTTTTGCTGTCGGGTTGGAAGAAGCTGTAACTCTGTCTCGGAGGGGGGGGCGGGGAATAATTATTTTTTATTTATTTATTTTGTAAGTGCACGAGGAAAGGAACTCTATCCTTCCCCTAAAAAAAACACTCAATGGTAACAAGAGGAATGATCTCAAGTCTCGCACACGGTTTTAACAAAAACTAAAACCAAAATGTGACTTGCAGCACCTGCATGCGTAAGTGGGAAGTTGCCTTAGCGCTGTTCCAGGCATGTAATATGCCGTCATATTACATGTTCCCGCATGGGTTTGGTAGCATGTTTTCCTAGAGACACCCAAGGATGAGGGTATGGAGAGCAGGAGAGCGGCTCCGGTCCCCAGGAGAGCTCTGTCCCTCACCGCGAAGGCCCCGGTTCCCTCTGGTCACTGCCTGCTTGTCGAGACGCACCGTCCCTGCCAGAGAAGTGCACGAAGCACCCAGGGAAACCCAGGTGCTTGGGAGGAAGGAGAGCCAAGTGTGACTTTCCCACTTCTCCTGCCCGGGGCTGGGTGAATGTGCTGAGCCGCCTCTCCTGGAGGCTGCAGCCGAGGTGTGCTGCTGCCTCGGCTTCTGAGCATCGCCTGGGCAGGGAGCTGGGGCAGGAAGGTCACCGGTCCGGGGCGATGCTCGGTGAGTAGCTGGGAGGTGAGCGAAGGCTGGAGAGCACGGGGGGCTGAATGTTGCAAGGACCACGTCTTGCCCACGGTGTCCTCCTGTGCAGTGGTTAACGCCTCTCAAGTGGGCATTCTTCCGCAGCCCTCGCTAGTACTGTCTAGAAGGTCACCGGTCCGGGGCGATGCTCGGTGAGTAGCTGGGAGGTGAGCGAAGGCTGGAGAGCACGGGGGACTGAACGTTGCAAGGACCACGTCCTGCCCACGGTGTCCTCCTGTGGTTAACAATGGAGCAGTGGTTAACGCCTCTCAAGCGGGCATTCTTCCGCAGCCCTCGCTAGTACCGTCTACGGCCGTGCTGAGGATGGCACCCAAAACTTGTCAAACGAACCCCAAACCACCAAAAAAAAACCCCCGTAAACCAAAAACCCACTGGGTGTCATCTATATGTCTTCTAGTTAGTGACCTGAGGACCAAACCGGTCCCTCTGTCGTTCTTGTGCCTTTTATCCCTTGCAGAGGAACCAAAGGCAAGGACATCAACACAATCAAGTCGCTGCGAGTTCTGCGGGTCCTAAGACCGCTGAAGACCATTAAGCGTCTGCCAAAACTAAAGGTTAGAGAATAACCACAAATCTTTCCTTCTCTGGGGGGCTGCAAGCGATCTGAGTGGGAGCTGATGGGGTAAACTTAATCTGAGTTATTTCTGTTCCTTTTATTTTGTTGCAATTAATCTCTGCCAGATTTATAAAAGCAGCTGTGCAGATGGTTAGCAAATATCAAACACTTGTTTCTTTTGCAAACATTGTAATATTATGAATTAGTGTGAATCCACATTAAAATCAAACTTCTAAAAACAAGAAAAGAAAAAAACGCAAGTAAATTACAGTTCCTAAGTGTGATGCTCCTAGAAATAATATAGGAGAAAATAGGTTTTGGAGTGTTTGACTTTCCCTAGAGAACTTAATATGAATATTGCAAGATTTTCTTCAGTCTTCTAAAGAGAAATGTCATTGCTGTTTGAGGACTTTTAATCTGTTCATCTTTGCTATTAAAGAATATATAGTGCAGGTTTTATAGCCTTTCATCTTTCTTTCATCTCTAGAATACTGAGTTACAAAGTGAAATAAATGTAATGGCCTATGGTGACTTATTCAACACCATTTCAAGAAGTCTTTGAGATACAGCCAGCCCCTGGAAGCACAGAATGGAAGGAGTTACATAATTAAGTAATTTCTGAGTTTTGAGAACTCTGGAATAACTATTGTAAAACACCTTCATGTGGCATCGCTCCTTGCAGGTTCTTTTCTGTGAGAGATGGGAAGAAAGCGATGGGTGCTTTTGGAATGATAAAACAATGTCTGACAACTCCTGTTTTCACACGGTGGCACATAAAAATCAGGGTTAGCCGTGTTACAAATTTGCTTTCATCCTTACCCACAATTCATGCTTAAATTGTTTTGATTTTATGTATTTTTCTACATACTAAATTTACTTCGAAAGGTAAAGAAGAGTAATGTGAACACTGTAGAAAATGGCCTTTATTTGCTTAGAAATTTGAAGTGCACAGCTCTTAGGTCATAAAACAGCCAACACGAGCTCAGTCCAACAGCAGGATACTGAATGCTTGCTCTTTATTGAATGTCTTCCTTATTTTCAAGCCATTTTACAGAGTAATTTTACCACTTCTAAAGAAGTATTCAGAAATCTTTATGTGAAGCAGAAGTCATATTCACATGGTTTGTGCTCAGAATTCTTTTTTTTTTTTTTTTCTTTTGGATGTGGTCTTGTATGTAACAATCGGCACGATTAATGCAGTGATTAGAGATACTTCCAGTGTTTTAATTCAGGATTTCTGAGTTGCATCAGGAGTTTAATTTTGTGAATTATTCAATTCCATTCAGAGAAACAGGAACAGTATTGTACAAACCCCACGCTTGGACAGTATGACTGCTCAATTTCTATTATTATGGCGAATTTCTCAGACTAAAATTAAACTGGAAACTATTTGTAACAATGAGTCAGTGACTAATAACCAAATAATAAATGTATTTGAGAAGTTCTTTGCAGGGAGTTCAAAAGTGACATATGCTGACTAGATTAGTCACACTTAATTTTGATAGGCAGTTCATTAGAAAAATACTATTCAAAGCATTTGGTTGTTTTGTAGCTGGTATATATTCCTTATTATTCAAACAGTTCAAATAATGGTCGATGAGTAAGATATTTAATGAGTTTTTCCCTATCTACCTGGAATAAATTAAACACGAATACATTTTTCATTTTATAATTGGCCATGGAAATATTTCCTTAGGACTAATATTTATCTCGATGAGCTGCGATCGTCTTTATAAATTTTAGAGACAGCACCAGAAAATTCGGTGGCACAGCCAAACTCGCCAAGAAAGCAGGAGTTGCAGGAAGCCAGCGTTATTCCTCACAGCTGGAGTACGGTTCTTCGTCAAAGCCTTGACGTACGAGTCCATGAAACCACGCGTGGGTTGTAGGCTGGGTAACCGCTCCCAGGCGTGGTTAGAAGTTAGATGCCAAGACGTCAGATGCACTTTTCTGTTCTCTCGACCCCTTAACCTTGTTCCCCTCCGTCCGCAGGCTGTCTTTGACTGCGTGGTGAATTCTCTGAAGAACGTCCTCAATATCCTCATAGTTTACATGCTCTTCATGTTCATTTTTGCCGTCATTGCTGTGCAGCTCTTTAAAGGCAGATTTTTCTACTGCACCGATGAGTCGAAGGAGCTGGAGAAGGACTGCAGGTACGGCCGGGGGCAGGGGCTGCAGGGGGGAGCCCGACTTTCCTCCGGCAGTTCCAGCAGCTCCCCTGACTGTCCCAAAGCTGCACCGGTCGGGTGTCTGCTGAGCTCGATGAGCCTCCTGTAAGTAAGAGCACAATTACCCTCGAGGTGAATTTTCCCTTTTACTGTTTTAGTAGCTGCATCACTCCTGGCTCCGAGCTAGCAAACGCTTACCCAAACGCTTAATGACACAGGGGAGCAGGCTTCTGTCCTGGGGAGAGCTGGGTGTGATTGTAAGGTCAAACATTTTTGAAGGGATGGCGTGACTCTTCTTTCTACCTGCTACCTTGATTCTTAGGGCTCGTATGAATTAGAAAAACATAATGAATAAATAATCAGAAGTGAGTGGGTCGGAAGTTAAAGAGCTCCTAATTAGCTAGAAAAGGGGACAGTGTTTGAATCTCTTAAAAGCCCTGCCACGCTTTGTCCCTTGCGCAGACGTCGAGGTGTGTCACTCACCGCAATGAGCATCTTTCTCGCTTGCCTTTTCTCTTGGCACCCAGACCGGGTCCTCGGCGCTGTGCCGGTCTGCCCGCGTTACCGCTCTCCCGCCGCCCTGCAA